TCAATTTTTCTTCAGTCTTCCTCAGTCACTGCCCAGCTTTCACATGCGTATGAGGCGACTGAAAATACCATGGCTTGGGTCAGGCACACCTTAGTCCTCAAAATGACATCTTTGCTTTTTAACACTTTAAAAAGGTCTTTTGCAGCAGATCTGCCCAATGCAATACATCTTTTATTTCTGGACTGCTGTATCCATGGGCATTGACTGTGGAGTCAATTAAAATGAAATCCTTGACAACGTCAATCTTTTCTCTGTTTACCATGACGTTGCTTATTGGTCCAGTTGTGAGGGTTTTCGTTTTCTTTATGTTGAGGTGTAATCCATACTGAAGGCTGTAGTCTTTGATCTTCATCAGTAAGTGCTTCAAGTCCTCTTTGCTTTCAGCAAACAAGGTTGTGTCATTTGCATATCTCAGATGTTAATGAGTCTTCCTCCAATTCTTTGACGCCCATTCTTCTTCCTATAGTCCAGCTTCTCGGATTATTTGCTCAGCATAAAGACTGAATTAAGTATGGTGAAAGGACACAACCCTGACGCATACCTTACCTGATTTTAAACCATGCAATATCCCCTTGTTCTGTTCGAACGACTGCTTCTTGGTCTATGGAAAGGTTCCATACAAGCACAATTAAGTGTTCTGGAATTCCCATTCTTTGCAATGTCATCCATAATTTGTTATGATCCACACAGTCGGATGCCCTTGCATAGTCAATAAAATACTACCTTGCCTACTTTAGTGTCTATTAGAGACACGTGGCGATGTTAACAGTACACTTGCTCTGGTTATTTATTTTTTAAACAGCCAGCTGACAATTGATATAAAATATAACTCCTATCAGTCCATGCAAGAAGCATCACCTCACAAGTCTTTCCTTTATACTCTTACCTTCCTAGTTCTGAAGGTCAAAGTTTCCAATGCTGTGTCTCAACTTGTATTGAAATGTTTGGCATTAATGAAACAAAGAAGGAATTAATATATTTTTTAAACAGGGGAGGGAATCTACCAAGGCCGATTTCACTTTCTAAGTAGCATTATATTGGTCTACATTAATAATTTTCCCAGCAGGCCTTCCATGATCTTACTTTGAACAATCACAGTCTTTGTTTCCCAGATCCTCTTACATGTGACATTTGATCAAAGTTTTAAAAACAGCAGCTAACGAAGGAGGAGAAAAGTACTGCTCAGTAAGGCATTACACAAAGCCATCCCCTCACTCATTTCGAGGTTGCTACAAGCAGGATCACAGACATTTTCCTGCTAGCACTGAGTTAAATTTTCTGTACCCTGAACGCTATGTTTACTACACATCATCCTACTTCCCATCAGGGAAACATCCTCTAAACATCACCAAAGCCAAGAAACTTCTTCCTTTCTTTCACACAGGTGTGCTTTTTTAGAAAAGTACGAGGTACCAAACAAATGTATTCCTGTTCCAGGGTCTTTGTATATACAGCCTTAAAACAGTTTGCTTCCTTGCAAAAAAAAAAATAATAGTAATAATAAGAAAAATAAAGGAAAAAAAACAGATTTCAGGTAACTAAATTATTCATATCAGTAGTTCTAGAATTAATGGTAACTATTTTGATGAGACAGGATATGAAAAGCAAACTAGGAAAAATAAAAAGTCCTCATCGTAATAAATCTTCCTCCAAAGAAATGGGGGGGGGGGAGTGGGAGATTAGTAAAGGAAATATTTCACACTTCAACATGCTATATAAGGAAAGAGGCTAAAAGGAAATCTTGCAGGGAATTTTATCCCTTTGAACTTTCAAATAAACTCTTAAGTAAGATTATGCAAACTTACTAAAGACCGGTCCTGATTAGAGGGAAAAAATGCATCCCTTCTCCAAGTCAGTTCTGGAGGCTTTCTCCAGAGTTGTTAAGGTTTGTGTTGGGTAAAGAAAGACCTCCTAACAAACCAGCATTCTTTTCCACATGATCAGAGCTAATTGGCCCCCCTGCAGACCAAGTGACCAATCACATCATCTTCAGAGGAAACCAGCCCCCACTACATTATAAACAGAGGAATGTGAGCTGTAAACCCAGTCCAAGAAGAGAACCTACAAACTAGACTTGTAGATTAGAATTACCTGATCAAAAGACATACTCAGCAAGTTTCCTCAAGACCTATCTTTGCATATAGGCTCACCCATCAAAAGAACTGGTGAGTACATAAAATTATATTCATTCTTATTTCTTTCCTTAAAGAGAACAGGGAAAAGAAGTGGACTGGCAAATAGGGACAGACCTAGTTACCTCCAATAGATTTCTAAAACAGTACCTATAGTGATATATATTAAGGTTCTTTATTCTTTTTTCCTTATATTTTAGAAACGCGATAATAAAAGCCCTACTGAAAAAGATTACTGGAAATTATCTTCTGAATTGTTTTGTTAAATGCATACTAATCTGCCACTATAATATAAAATTAAGTAGAAGAGAAAAGCCCTAGAAAAAATTCAGAGGCTTAAAAAAAAGGTGCTTTTTTCTTTTGGAAAGTATTAAAGAAACCCTAAATAAGCGTACAGAAACAAATGACAATAAAACATTTTGCTTTTTTTGAAAAATTTTTTATCCATGAATAAAATGATGAGTTTTATCTTAATTTTAAATTTCTTTTAAGCAGGGAATTGTTACTGAAATTAGTATATGCTTCTACAAATAAAAAATTAAGATGTAAAAAAATCTGAGCTTACATAATAGGGTTAGAACTCAGATTGTTTGCCCTAATTATGCAGGGCAGAGATGATTTTAAGACTTTCGATATAGTTTAAGCCATACTGGACAAATACATGGTAATACTGTATTTGTATAACACTTGTAGTTACAGCCTATATCCTAACTATTTAATACGAACTACACTACTACTTTATAACATGGCAATAGAAAAGACATAATTTTAAGTGTGACAAACTAAATGAGTGGAATGAATCTACTGTTCTGATGACCAATGAAGCAGCCAAACTATCCCTTTTATAGAGTAGTTTTTTCAAAAAATATTTTATAAATGGGCAAATATTTTACAGCCCACACACATAAATTCAAGAAACCTTACCATGTTTCCATTCTACTCTCTACTGAGATCAGTTGATGAAAATCACATCAATACAAACCAAGGCAAATGATACATTCAAAAAGCACTGTGCCTGTAGGGATACAAAAATCACTTGGAAATATAATAGTATAAACATAATGTCTGTCCATCAGAAACTTAAATTTGATGGAAAGAAAATCCTACAGATATCAGGTAACAATAATATAACTCAAACAAAATCATACAAACATGTAAAGTCATACAGAAAAAAAAAAAAGAAGAAAGAAATCATACAGGAATGCTGTTATCAGTTGAGGAAACTGGAAATAAGTTTGCAAACTTGCAGAACTAGAGAAGATTGTGTTATTTAATTCCCTCTTTCTTTTTTTCACTATACGGAAGCCTGGCCAAGGGTATTGGGTGACTTGCCCAAACTGACACAGCTATATAACTAACCACAGAGCCAGAGCCTGGTTGCCTAGATTCCCTATCCTGTGTTCTTTATCTAAACCACACTGACTACAAGAGTCCAAAGAATGGAGTTACTCTGGGTAATATCTTAAGTGGAGATCAAAATCTTACTTCCCTCAACTACTTTCCAACACAATCTAAATAAGATCTAGCAAAGTCTTATATAAAAAAAGATACTGCTTCACTGTTTTGATACTAGTCTTCTGACTTCCCTGTTCACAGGTTTTTCCATGTAATTTACTTGCAAGAGAAAAAGAATGAAAGTGTAAAGAGCCTAGAATAAGACTGCCATAGAAGCTGTAGGTTAACAAGTAACAAGTCTGAAAAAATCCAAATGGGAATAATTTTGTTAGCTATAGTACATACAGAAAGGCTTTCTCTCCAGATAATGAATTTTAAAACTTGGAAGCACCCCCATCCCGACCCCGAGCTACTGTGAAGCAGTAAGCATTCACCAGGACAGGGGTTCCCTACAGTGGAACAAGTACCGGGGCACAGGTCCAGGATGGGCATTTTCACGTAGGCAAGAAGTGAAACACCGTAAAGGACAAAGCAGCTGCCTTTGGGCAAGGCAGCCAACTCTCCATTCGTGGCTACATCCTCCTTCAAGTGTGAAAATGTCCCTTCTTTTATAAAAGTAGTATTATATTTTTAAAATTACTTTCTCACTTGGCAAAATACAAAGTTAGCGATGATGTATAAGAACTCTGTTCTCCACATTTTGTTCTAATTCTACTGATCTGTAAAATCCAAAATACTAGACTATGTTATAATTCTGACTACACTAATCTACAAATCTTGAAAGAAGTCTTCCTTAACTGAAAAAATATTTCTTGTCTAAAAATCATAGGTCTGAATCTAATAAGCATAAATGAAGACCAAATATTCTGTAGTGGCTCTTGAACAAAACTAGTCAAACGGAACAGTATTTTTCACGAAGGCTAACCAGGGTCAAAATGTCTATTTTTGAAGCAATACAGCACTGACTCTGAACTCAGAGTTATGAGATTCAAGCCCACCACTTACTACCTTTTTGATCTCAGTTTCATCATCTGTAAAATGGGAGTAATAATGATACTTATTACCGTGAAAGTTAAAAGATGTTATTAATAACAATAAAGCAACTAACATTTACGGAGAGCTTGGTCTGTGCCAGGCATTGCCTATGAGTTTCATGTGAGTTAATACAGGAGTGTTTACTATGTTTCCTGGCACACAGTAACCAGTCAATAGATATCAGCTAATATAGTAATTGTTACTGCCATAAGAATCATGTACAAAGCTAACAATGGTTTAGGACAGACACCTGAGACAGTGATGGAGACAGGGAGGGCCACCTACCAAAAATCTAGCTGTCAAAAGACCATCTTGTGAATGCAATGCCAGTCATCTAGGGAAAGATTTTTATTTCGCCAAACTCTGAATAGACAGCTCCTTGTGGTTTAAAAAAAAAAAAAAAAAAGCTGGCTCTGGAGTTAGCCAGACCTGGATAATAATCCAAATGTTGCCCCCATTTGCCCTATACAGGTTTCTTTTATCTCTCTGAGCCTCAGTGACTTCATCTGAAAAATGGAGATGATGCCTATGTGGCTGAGATCCCAAAGACTTAAAGACAATGCATTAGGAAAGCACCTAGCACAGTGCCTACGAAGATTTTATTATTATTATTTCCAAAAGGACAGACATCATTTCTCCTAAACCCTTTAAATAATCTAGCAAAATCAGGGTTATTAATACCTACATCATGGAGAAAAAAATACACTAACTAAAATTATGATTATGATAAATTATTATGCTAATAAACTATAAAACATTAAAGCACTAAGATTTTTTAAAGTCTGTAATAAGAAACTGAAATGGCTACTTTAAAAAGTCAAGGAATTGGCCATCTAATCTAAACAATTTCAACATCCCATCAGTAGCTCAAAGCTGAAGAAAATACAAGAGAATGTCTCTAATAGTACTATAAATGTTAAAACAGCCTCTGGACGAAAGAGAAAGTTGTAAATATCCAGCTGGCCAATGTTCAATTCCAACAGCAAAGGAGGTGGTCTTCAAAGCCCCAACACACAGGGGTACCCAATAAACCCCAGCACAGCAACCCAGATCCACAAGCCTCTAGTCCCTTCTTAAGCTTCATTCAAAGGGCAAAGAGGGGGTACGCAGCACTCCCAAGGGCATCTAATTCTGAAGGAAAAGATTCAAATATAAACTCCTGTGACGGGATTACGGCAAAGAGGGGAGCACGCAAGGGGAGCAAACACATATTTCCCACTCTGTTCCTGGTAGCCTCTATACAGAAGTCTTAAGACACCTTTGTCATATGCACAGAAGATCAAAGGAAAGTGTGCATTAGATTTCTATTCACCACAGAAAGGAAAGTATAACCAGTGATGAAAACTGCTTACAGCTGAAAACTATATTAATTATCTTTTGAAAACTGCCATCTGATGCCTTCATAATTATTTCAGTTCATTAAACTCCTTAAGCTTTTTCTTCTACTGTATTTACTTTCAAAGCTAAGGTTATCTAGGAATGTCTACCTAGAATTTCTTATTTTAGCAAGAAAGTAATTCTCTCTCCACAATCCAATCAGAACCTAGAATATTCAACAAAACAGCAATACATCAGCCAGGCAAGGAAAAACTCCATGAAAATTGCCCAAAGTGACAAAAACAAACTTAAATCATAAAACTCTTTGGTGTACTCTCAATAGGCTAATTATAAAACATACATTACAACCACACATCTGTAAAAGCTTAGCACCTATGTAAGTCTTGTCCTAATACCAAGTCTGGTTTCAAAGGATTTGCAGACAGTTTCACATGAAGCTTCTAAATGATTTCTATTTATTTACAAATAAGAACACTTAAAATACTTAACGCATTCCTTTTTATCATGAGTTATTCAGGTATTTTGTTATTTACACATAATATTTGGTCAAATTAGTAAATACTTGATTGCCTGCACTTGTGCAAAGAAGATACAGTAGTGTCAAACGAGCATGAACCACAATCATCACCCTCAGGAACTTTACAGTATGCTCGGAAAAATGTTTAAATGTCAAACTATATTTTAACAGTTATTCAAAGAAACAATACTTAATCAGTAAACACCCTCTTATGTACAGATAAAAAGAGAGCAAGCTGTCAGACTAGGAAAGCCTTCGCAAGTTATAGTCAGGGAAGCATTCCAAAGAAAGCACAACATGAATGAGGTCTCCAAATTTAGGGAATAATAACTATAAAACAGGTAAGGGCTTACTAATTTACTCTTGATTTCAGAGAATTCCAGCCTAAGATGGATGGCAGTAATTGCAAAGTTATAGCTCCTCTCCTAACTCAGAGATACCGAAGGATGGTCACCAAGGATGGCCACAGCACACTTCAAATGGACGGCGCTCAAAGGGGCCTCGCGTATCTTCGAGATGCTTGGGGAATCCTAATGGACATGCGCTGGCGTTGGATGATGTTGGTCTTCTCTGCTTCTTTTGTTGTCCACTGGCTTGTCTTTGCAGTGCTCTGGTATGTCCTAGCTGAGATGAATGGTGATCTGGAACTAGATCACGATGCCCCACCTGAAAACCACACTATCTGTGTCAAGTACATCACCAGTTTCACAGCGGCATTCTCCTTCTCCCTGGAGACACAACTTACAATTGGTTATGGTACCATGTTCCCCAGTGGTGACTGTCCAAGTGCAATCGCCTTACTTGCCATACAAATGCTCCTAGGCCTCATGCTAGAGGCTTTTATCACAGGTAATTGTCTTTGTTCTTTTAAAAAAAAAAGCAAGTGTTTTGGAAAGGGCAGAGTCAATTATAAGCAATTCTGTTATGGAGTAATTTATTTGTATTATTAGCAGGTAATATCTGAGACAGGAATGAAAGCATCCAGGGCCAAGCAATAGAAGAAATTATAAGGAACATGACTATATACTTAAATTTTACCTATTGGAACTTCTTAAGGAAAAAAGGGATTGTTATGACACGTAGGAACATCCTGTGCCAAAAAAATATCAGAAAGAAGTCTAAAGGGAGTTTTTCAGAGGAGTAAAACTTTTTGTTAAATAAGTGAATAAATATGTTCAGTGCATATTTTGATAGTCATTTTACGTAACAGGAGAAATTTAATACTTTTTTTCTTCACTGGACTAGAATTTTCTCCTCTGGATTTATCTTTTCAATGTTTACTCAATACCACTGAGCCCAGGGCACCACAGTCAGCATTATGTTAGAGAAAAAATTAAGTATATACATTCTTAACAAAATGCCACAAGGATTATGAAATGTTACTTATAAACCTGGTAACAAGTTAAGACTCCTTCCCCTAATAAAGTAGGTCTAGTGTCATTTTTAATAACTGATACAATTAAAACAAAAGAAAGAAAATCTGGTTTTAAAACACTATCCAATAATAATCTGAGAAGGTAGGCACTGGGCCATATGAAGGGTGCTCAGGGATCAAGTCTCAGTGTGCTACCAATTGGCTCTACAACCTGTAAGAAATCACTTAATCTCTAGAACAAGAGTTCTTCAACTGGGTCAGTCCATGGATAAAATTAAGGAGGTCTGTGAACTTAGACGAGAAAAACTTAAATCTTTTTTCACTAACCTCGACCTGAAAATTTGGCATTTCCTTTGATTATGAATGTATGCAACAAAAAACAGTAGCATCAGCAGTATCTATAACTTTGATACAAATAAAAATCACAGATATTTTCATCTCATACTATAATACTTCAAAGTTACAGTACTAGACCTGCTACTAGATTTTGTTATTTAATGCATTAATAAAGCATATAGAGTACTTATAAAGTATTTTAAATGTTCAACTGGATTTCAATGTATTTTGGTTTCCAATGAATCCTATGAATTTAACATAATTCTGAGAAGAGGTCCACTGGCCTCACCAGCCTGTAAACAGCATCTGTGGCATAAAAATGATTAAGAATCCCTTATCTGTAGTTTGGGGCACAAGGAAGATACACCTGAAAGACACACTAAAACCACCTTATGCAGCCAGCGCCTTCCAAACAAAAAGGTTTACGTAAGATTCGAAGTTAAAAAATTCTTCAGTGTATCACTCATTCTACTAGCCCCCTTCTCACCCCAAAACATTCTACTCTGAATCTAGTCTCTACTGTAACTTGAAATAATCTGGTTGTAAGCAACCTATATTTATTTTCCATTACATTAAAAGGAAGAAAAAAAAGTAGAGATAGGAATATAGGAAACGACCAATTGTTTGACTCTGTACTAAACCAGAGGACACAGTTTCATTTACACTTCCATGTAACGAGATAAATTATGCCTGTCCATTCTGAAATCATGGTTTTTAAAGTAAGAATGTACGTATACTTTGAAAAATTCTTCAGGCAAAATGAGACAACCCCAATTAACAAACCATGCGTTCAACTCTCAACTTACTTAGAAGTCATGGCACCTAAGAAGTGTGTAGCTATTTGATATACCCTTTTCATTCAGAAAAGGTATTGATATTTATAGTCAATATGCTAAAAAAAATTCAATGGTTTCTAATTCAGGTGCCTTTGTGGCGAAGATTGCCCGGCCAAAAAATCGAGCTTTCTCAATTCGCTTTACTGACTTAGCAGTAGTAACTCACATAGATGGCAAACCCAATCTTATTTTCCAAGTGGCCAACATTCGACCTAGCCCTCTAACCAGTGTTCGGGTCTCAGCTGTACTCTATCAGGAAAGAGAAAATGGCCAGCTCTACCAGACCAGTGTGGATTTCCACCTTGACAGCATCAGTTCCGAGGAATGTCCATTCTTTATATTTCCACTAACCTACTATCACTCCATTACACCATCAAGTCCTCTGGCTACTCTGCTCCAGCATGAAAATCCTCCCCACTTTGAACTAGTGGTGTTCCTTTCAGCAATGCAGGAAGGCACTGGAGAAATATGCCAAAGGAGGACATCCTACCTACCCTCTGAGATCATGATACATCACTGTTTTGCATCGCTGCTGACCCGAGGTTCCAAAGGTGAATATCAAATCAAGATGGAGAATTTTGACAAGACTATCCCTCAACTTCCACCTCCTCTGGTGTCTAAGAGCCCAAACAGGACTGACCTGGATATCCACATCAATGGACAAAGCATTGACAATTTTCAGATCTCTGAAACAGGACTGACAGAGTAAGACTTACCCATGGTACCCTTCTTTTTTAATGTATTAAATATACCCAACTAGTTATACAGCTATCTTTCCTTCATCATATCTCACTGGGTTGTTTTTTTTTCCCCCTAACTCTGAATACATCCCTCTAATTACATCATAGTAACTCTACCTATGTCCACAAAAAATGGCTAAGCTAACAATACGCATTCTGGAAATATAAGATTCTACTTTACAAAGATTATATCTGTGGTTATCTGCTAAAATCAATTAAATTCAACATACAGATATGTTGTTGGTGAATCTGTAAGGAGATAGTATGATTCTAGCAATGAAGGTAAAATAGACAGTGAACTTTAACACAGATGAACTCTAAGAAAAATCAACCATAAATCTTTCATTTACATCTACAAGTTGAAATAATGGTCTAGCCTCAAACCTAGCTCCCTGGATGGAATGATGACTTCACAATATTTAGTGAACATCCTTTTAATGTTCACAATATTTAGTGAACATTACTTTTTTCAAAGCAAACGATCATTTCTTTAGTCCTTTATACTACAAAACTGGGGTAACAGCTAAGAACAAAAATTCACAGGAAAAACAGCAAACAGTCAGAATTGACTCGAAGGCAATGGGTTTTTGGTTTTTTAAAATCATTTGAACACGACACCCAAACACACACAGGCTCAGATATTTGTGGCAGAAAGTAATCAGAACAAATAGGTAAGCTCCAGCACTATCAGAACCTGCAGGGTGGTATTTTGGGGAGGAGATGCAAAAGCTACTTTAAAGCTACTCTGCATAATAATCAAAGAGTGATTGAAAAATCAATATTCATCTGAATGGCTTCAGATCTCAGTAAAAACATTCTCTCCCTACCTATGACACCAGTCAATGGTATAAAAACCATGAAGGGCCTAAATAATTCATAAATGCAAATACATTTAAATTTTTATATATAATAAAGGCTTAGTTAGATATAATTTCACTAGAAAAAAAATTCTCTAATAGACAAAGCAAAAAATAATTAGGCAACAAAGTATTTTCAAACCCAAATTCTTGTTTCCAACTGCAAATAGTTTTTTCTATAAACACAAAGTGAATGTTTATTCACCAGTGGGAGGCTGGACTGGATGAACTCTATTATTTCTTTCCAAATCTAATACTCCATGAAAATGATGCTTTCTCTGCTGCTTCATCTTTTGTTTTATATATACTAAGATGAACCCCATTCCTTTGTCTCCCAGTTTAGGACAATCCTTTGCAAACTTTTCATTTCAATAAAAAAATGAAACTATCCTCAAATATAAAACAAGAACCAAAAAAGTCACTCTATCAGGTTTCCAATAGATTCGTGGCCACTCTTCTCTTCTGGAATCTCCCTTATTCAGGCTTATGTGGGAAAAGGGAAAGATCAACCTTCCCCACTGGTGGCGGCCCAGGCAGGAATCGCCTCTTGAAGTAAATACTAGCTGAGTAAAAAGCAAGCAGTTGTGAAGAGCAGGGCACAGCAGTAAGTCACATTTTTCTACTCTTTAACCAAAAGGAAAAGAAAATAAAGAAGAACTCTGGAGTGGTCTAAGATGTATAATAGCAGAGGAATATCAAGAACACAGAAACTTAATTACTGTGAACTTTTGCTGTTTGAAAATCTTAGGCATTCTTAAGTACTAGCCAGAACAACAGATTTTCTTAGAACCCAAGACTGCTGTAACACATAGAGGTAGCAGGAATTCTTACTTCTATAATAAATTAACAAGATTCATCTAATTTGTGAAAATAAAGTTGTATTTAAGATTTACACGGTATGTTTTTTCCTACGAGCGCCTCTGTCACTTGCATAGATCCCAGTAGCCATGGTTAAGGGAAGCTGTCTGAGGTGACGAGACAAGTAAACGGACAAGACCTGGGATGGAAGTCTCCTGCAGATGCAGCATGGGCTCCACTCTTGCCAGAGGGGTCTCCCATCATCCTTACACAGCGAAACCTGAGAGAGCTGCAGCTCCCTGGGACTGCCTTGTTTTTCCGGATCTCGCAAGTTTCCCGCCTTTGACAGGGTACCGCTTACCACTTTTCTGTCACACTCTATTAATGGAAAATATGTGAGTTTTCCTTCTCTGGCAGGTTTCCACCTTACACAGGTCCCGGCTTTCACAGCTTTTACTGTAGTTACAGACAAACTGTCCGCTTGAAACCTGGCTGTGACTTTCCCCAAGATGTCCCCAGAAAACTCTGTTGGTACATTAGAGCTATTTAATAAATGTTTTATGAATAGAGCAACTAAGCAATTCAGTCAACCTTTGTCTGGGGTGTCAAAAGTTTCTGGGAGTTCATTCATGCATGATTGTTTCACTTCAAAGAATCACAGTTTCTACATTGAGAATTAAATTTCTGGCAAACCATCATTATTCTCTCAGGAGCATGGAGTACAATGGAAAGACGGGGTAATGGCTGAGCGGAGGGATGACAGCTCTGCCTGCCTGGCTGTGGGCCACCTGTGAGCTCAGTCATGGCATCTTAGACCACCTTAAAACTAACTGAAAAAGTGCCTTTGAAAACCAATACAGATAGCGTCACAGTCCCAACAAACCAGAGACAAATAGTTACTAAAAGTCATAAAAAAAAAACCCAAACCCATTGGTGCTGAGTCGATTGTGACTCACAGCAACCCTACAGGACAGGGTAGAACTGCCCATAGGGTTTGCAAGGAGCACCTGGTGGATTCAAACTGCAGACCTTTTGGTTAGCAGCCAAGCTCTTAACCACTATGCCACCAGGGTTTCCAAAAATCATAAGGGCAAAGGTTTTATATGTGTACAAACCCTATTACTGTCAGCAGCAGCCTAGTGACCAAAAACCGCTATGTCTATTTTAAAGGATTTCCCACCAAAATGGACGAGTAACTATCACACTGGGCTCAATGGAGTGGTATCATCTGGGTCATTTTTTTCTTTTTTAGTGACCCTTTAATTTTGATCTCACAGAATCTTACTATAAGATGATCACTACAACTGACCTCCCCTATGCAGCAATCAATCTCTACTGAACAGGAATTTTAACTGCATCAAATACTTCTCAGGCCTTTTTCCACCTCCACACTCTCCCAGGGGTGTTCACTGGGGTTATGCACCATTCTTACCCACATGTCTGTAATCCCACCCACTTTCTCCACATAAAAGCAAATATGTGATGTGAACCATCTCTAACTTATTAAGGAACAAATCATTCTTGAACCTTCCTTCAGTACACCAATTACCTTAATTCAATGCTAGGACATCTTACAATTGATCAACATACCAGTGTCCCAAAATACTAGTTTAGAGCTGCTGTTCTTGGACGGTGTAAGAAAAAATTACCATTATGCACAGTGCTTTTTTAATCTACATTATTTTTAACAAAAATGGATTACTTATATCAAGAGCTCAGAATCATTAGCACAGTTAATATCTTAACTTGAAGTGAGCATCTTACCAAAAAGCATTCAATAAAAGTCACTATATTAGAACAACATGTCACATTTGCATTAGCCATGATATTTTAGTAGGAATATTTTCTTAATATGCTTAGCCACCTCATGTCAATTTCATCATAGAGAGCTTACCTTTTCAATATAGGGTCAAAGAAAAAGAAAAAGATCTTTACTTTTTTTAATGATTTTTTGTTAATTGTTGAGAATATACACAGCAAAACATACACCAATTCAACAATTTTTCTACATATAAAATATGAGAATCGCAAATAATGATTATAATGAACTTTATAATCAATTATTCCGAATCACCAAAGAGTGAGTACATATCAATAGTTACTCACTACTTCCCCAAGGCAACCCACGTCATGTTCTGACAACTCTATAATGATTAGATCTTTTTTAAGATTGTATCAAATATCTGCTTCCTTGAGCCTTCCATAGTTCGGCTCTTTTCTGTCCTTCAGATCATCTTCCACATGATCGTTAAGCAAATATTTGCAGACAGTGACCTTATAAACCCTTCTCCCCACTCTGTCCTGTCCACAGTCTTGTCTCCTGTATAAACAGCACCATTTCCTTCATGCATTCCGTCACAAGGCTTCAAATTCCCGCTGTCCTACTCCAATGTATGGATACTTCTTTCAAAGTGTGCCCCCAGAACTGAACACAATACCTTAGCTGTCCTGTGATAGTGGGACTCTCTCTCCCCTAACTCACTGAAGACACTTTATTGTAGTAAACGCTGCTCGAGGCCCCAGGTACACCAGCAGTTGCTGACTTACATTCAGCAGAGAGTCTGCTGCAAGTGCTGTGCCGCTCCTAGCAGGCTGCTGTTACACACAGCTCTCGCATTTTTTAATTCTAGAATTCATGTATGCAAAACTTTGCATTTTCGGCTGCTAAACTTCCATTTGATTCAATTTGGTTATGTTGTTCCACCTTAATTCTGATCCCAAGTCCCAACTATGCCACTCCACAGCTCCCTCAAGACACTGAATGATCTGAAAAAGTGATCAGCACACCAACATTGTCCTCCCAAGAAAAGGAACATTTATTTGGTACCTAGCACCATGCCTGGCATAGTGATCACCCGTTCCCCTCGAGTCAATTCCAACTCATAGCGACCCTACAGGACAGGGCAAAACTGCCCCATAGGGTTTCCAAGGCTGTAATCTTTATGGAAGCAGACTGTCACATTTTTCTCTCACAGAGCAGCTGCTGGGTTCAAACCACCGACATTTCAGTTAGCAGCCGAGCACTTTAACTACTGTACCATAGGAACTCAGTATTTGTTGCATGAATAAATTAGTCCATATACTCTTATTTATTCCTAAAAATTTTACAAGGCATTATCACCTCCACTTTATTGATGAAACTAATAAATATCTGAGAGCTTAAATTACTCATGATCATAAGTCTTCTGATTCCAAATTCCATATTCTTCAAACTACCCCTCATCACCTTTACATGCTCACTGGCAAAAGTACAAAATCAGACTTGGGAGTAGAGGTCCTGACAAATCCCCCCAAGATAACACTCATCCTGTAGTCTACAATATGGGTGAAGGCATTCAACTAGTAATAAATTATCTACCCAGCCTGTGCCAAATTTCTTTATGCCACATTTAATTTTAATGGCTTTTCATTAATATAAATACAATAAATTATTCCCACTGCCGTATTAATGAATGAGGAACTTAAATCATTAATGTTAAAATGAGTATTATATGAAAACAGTGATGCAAAGCTGCTTGCTATAACTAATTTTTTTAAAACAATCTGTAAATCAGTCCCAGTATGATATTTACATATTTAACATGTTTATCAGAAACGTTTACCTCTGTCACATCCAGTCATTTTTGGTATTTGTAGGAATCTGGTACTTGCAAGAATTTGGAATTTGTACAGTCATTTTCATTAACTCTAATGGTGATATGAACTGGCATTTTTTTCTCTGATATTAATACCTACTGGCAGTTTGTAAAGTAGTACCTTTAAGCAGTCAGAAAGCCCATCTTAACATTATAAATTCTTTAATATAAACTATGATTAATTCGCCATAAACCCTAAAGTCCTGTTCCCTTATTGTGTTCCGCCTTAATTCAGTGGATCCTTCGACTATATATTTTATTTCACTGTTCTCATCTCAAAAGAGAAGGAAAAAAAAAAAAAAACATTATACAGCCAGAAGACCGGATGAATAGAAAGACTGGATGAACAGACGACTAGAGTAAGAATGCTTGTCCTTTTTAAGCCTTTGCTCTCAAACATACTAACATTTGCCCTGTTTCTTCTCATAATCAACAAAAATGGACCACTTACATCAAAAGCCCAGAATCATTAGCACAGTTAATATAATAACCTGAAGGGAGCATCTTATCAAAAAGCATTCGACAAAAGTAACTATATTAGAATAACATGTCACATTTGGAAATAGCCAGTGAGATGCTATCTACACTATATCAGAATGGCATGTCATATCTGGAATTAGCCAGTGAGAGGCTATCTACACTGGACACGGAGTTACTAGATTGGGTGCTAACTTAAAATTTCAGTTCACAAATGGCTTCAATAAAGAACATACCATTCAGAGAACACACAGACCTGAAGCATTAAGTCAAGTAAATTCTAATGGTTTTTATTCATTGTCCCTGGGTTCACACAGTACAGTCCTCTAATAATCATGGAATTCTAAACTCAAGCAATGCTACAACCCCATCTACTGGAGAGGTGGAGATAAAGTGAGTCACTATTTAAAAATTAATCCTTCTGTGTGAGTCTGTTAGGAACTAAAAAGATAGACATGCAAATAATGTATTTTGAAACAGAAAACCTTACCTACATCTTTTCGTCCTGGTTTTTCAAAACGTCTGTCACCCCTAAGAAAGATCAAAGAAGTTTCAAACCAGACTTGAGAGTAATATATAGATTTCCCATCCATGAACCCACTTTCCTATGTTCCTTTAATAGCATTTCTTCCTTTTTCAAATTATAAAGCAAATATATGGTATTGCCTAACATTTGGAAAAATACAGAAAAGCATAAAGTTGAAAACAAAAATACCTATCTCACCTACCAAAAGCTAACATCTACCAGTATTTTTGTATACACAATTTTTTAAATACTGAAAATAAACCAGAATGTTATTTTTCGTTAGATACGTGCTGTACACAGTTTTATATAAGAACGTGTTTTCCCATGTCATTAAGTATTTTCAAAATCACCCTAACTTTGATGGCTGTAGAGAAGGTCTTCAGGCCTCCTGAGCTGGTGTGTTAAGCCACTCAGTTTGTGGCACTTTGTTAAGGTAGCCCTCAGAAACTAATACATCTGTTTATCTAGAATGGCTTCTTTCTTTCAGGATCATTTTACAATTTCTAACATACAATCTGATATTCACTAATGAACAGCATTTTTTAAAAATGAAACTCTGTAACTGTACATCAAAGAGCCTTCTCCTCTGAAAAGGCAGAAGCGCAGTGCGTTTTACATACTAAGAAATTTTATATAAAGCTCTGGATCCTTTACTTACCTTTCCTCCCAGCTCTGCGATCTATGCATTTCCCTGCCGCCTCCTCGACCAAACACGCCCTCCACTTCGTCAAAACTTCTTTGGTAAAAACCACATTCACCTCTGCCTCTGCCTGAAAACAGAGAAAATGACAGTCAAGACGTCAACACTTGGCACATAGTCAATATCAAAGATCAGTCTTTGAAGTTCTCTCTCTATATGAAGCAGGATGTCACCACATTTAAATACTTAGTGAGCCCTGTTGGGTCGACTATAGGAGACTGAAAAAACAAGTTAGAAAATCGGTGTAAGAGTCTCAGTGCTAGTCCTGAACAAGAAACAGTGTCACTATCAAGCTCTTTAATAAAAAGTTCAACAGTGAAATTCATAAAAAGTTCAATAAACCATTATTGTAAATTAAACCTTTTACTGGATTATTTTCAACAAAAATGGAAAATCTTGATTTGGAAAGCCTGTGAAGAGGGGAGCTAAAGTACAAAAGCCAAGCATAAATCTTGGAATAATTTATTTAATCTCAGAGAAAAGATAATTTAGTAAAGTCAACTCTAATCTATCAATTTTGTAAACCAACTGCTTAAAGGATATTCCAGAGCAAACAAAGGAACTCTTTTCCCTTTACTCAAATCTCGAGGGAGGAAAACTGTCAAGACTAAATTTGGACCACAGAGCTGATACGAGTGTATGGAAATCGGGACTTGATAAATTTGGTGGTTCAAGTTTAAACTGGCCTTTATTAACACCAATTTGTTTAGGGCTATGAAATTTTGACTCAACAATTCTACTTAGAATAACCTAATAGAAACACACAAATACGCCAATATATATATGAAGATGTTTACTGCCATTAAAAAAAAAAAACTGGAAACCTAAATATCTATCAATAAAGGATTGACTAAACCGTGCTAAAGCAAAACAGAATACTATGAAGCCACAGAAGATAAAGTCCTGATAAACTACAGAAATGAAGACGTCTACATTATTCTGTTGAATAACAAAAGCATGCCACAGAATAATACGCTTAAAAATGATTCCATTTATATAGACAACAGAGCTGCACAGGTAGGGTCAGGAAGGGTATACGTCCAACTGCTGGGTCTGGTAGCAGATGGCAATAAGCACCTCAGCTTTATACTTTCTGTACAATTTGAGGCTTTCCCAACTAATGTGCACCATTTGTATCCAAAGCCCAGGTAGAAAATTGGAGGTGGGGTAAAGGGCACAGGGATGGATTTATAACTACATGAAATCCCTAGCCCAACTACTCCCAAAGTACAAAATCACCCAAAGGAAAATCATGAATAAAAGCATGAATGCATTCCAAATGCCAAATACAACTGAGTTAAGTAATTACTTCAAATACCCAAGTAATATTTGTACTTCTTGGTTATAATTTATCAAATACTGGCTCAGAATACAGTTATACTTTCAGATGATCTTACTATGAAACACAAAAATAATGCACACAATTGTATGTGGGAACCGTAGGAACAATCGAATGGAATACACAGCATCTATCTTTTATACATGCCCTTTTTAAATTCTGAATGCAAGGGTTCTATCCTATATGATAACCCTTCATGTCAAAGAAACCAGAAAGCAGGGATAAATTTATCAATCCTTCACCTGTTTCTCCCTATGGATTAAAAATAGAGAGACTGGCTGGTATTTGCAGCACAAAGTTGGTGGTTATATCCGGCACATAACCCAGCTCGCTGGTGGCCCACACTTCTGGCTAATAAGCTCATTCTGGGCTCTGCCCTGCGGAGCACTGGGGGCAAAGCTGCCTATGTAGAATGTCTCCTAGCCGCTGGCCCACTCCAGAAAAACAGGAAATGTCCAAGTACCCAGCCAGCCCCAGGAGCAGTCAGTCCCAAAACACCAAGTACCACTAAGACACACAGATCTCAGATGACTTCTGGACCAATGGAACCTGAGTGTGCAAATCCAAACTGCCTGTGGAACTTCTGAAGTACACACACCTACATCTCACCACCCAGAGCTCTGCTGCTGACGTATTTTTTATCAGTTTTACCAATGATTCTAACACCTCCCCAAGTTAAAAACCACTGTTCTAAAGATTGACAAATTCCGAAGAAAAAGACATCTACAACTAGGTAACCGCACCTGGCGGTAGCAAGTGAGGACTTTTAGTTAGCCTCTTCACCATTCACAGGACCTGCAGCTGAATGTCCTACAGGGACTACTGAAGGAAGCCTCTTCACAGGAACGCACAATACATCCCTCATCAAAATTTACTATAAACTACTCTATGCATAAGGCACAACCTTAAGAAGCAGCAGCTAGATACCCCACGTTTATGAGAATGAAATCTGGGTGGTGTGATATGAGGAGACAAAGGTGTGTCACTGCAGACCCTATGTCTTCCATTTCCCAAGCTTCTCCTGAAGAAAATTACAAGGTATGCGTAGACTACTCCTGTGACTTAACCAACTCAGAGTTAAATGCTCAAGTAAATATCTAAATCACAAACATCAAGAATGCTGTTATGTAGCAGAAAAATCAATAAACTCAAAGTAGGGAGCAGATATCAAAAAAGCAAGTAATACCAAAATAAGAATTATATTTCTAAGAAAAGACACAAATCCACAAAACTATGTTGCTCTTATTAGTTGCCATCACGTTGATTCCAACTCACAGCGACCCCATGTGTGCAGAGTAGAACCGTGCTCCACAGGGTTTTCAAGGCTGTGACCTTTTGGAAGCAGATCAAAAAGCCTGTCTTCCAAGGTGCCTCTGGGTGGGTTTGAATCGCCAACCTTGCAACTAGTAGTCAAGTGCTTAGCCATTTGCACCACCCAGGGACTCCATATAAAACTATACTATAGGTTAAATAAATGATGCTGCATAAATATTTTTTGTTCTACCTCTTACAAGGCCCTAGAAGGAAGTATTGATGAGACAGTTTTTGCTGCTAATGGCCCTTCTGGCTGGGGACAATCCTGTGTCACGGAGCCTGCAGGGACCTGACTGCTGCTCCAGCAGTCAGGCCACTTCCAGAAGCTCTGGTTCCCAAAGTGCAAGGCTCCCTGGGGATACAGACTGACTTAAATGGGAACATCTAGAACCTCTCACACTCAAATCTCTACAGCCAGAATTATATTTCTCTGCTCCAAACTAAGGAGCCCTGGTGGCACAGTGGTTAAGCTCTCGGCTGCTAACCGAAAGATTGGCGGTTTGAACCCACCAGCCGCTCTGCAGGAGAAAGATATAGCAGTCTACTTCTATAAAGATTTACAGCCTTGGAAACCCTGTGGAGCAGCTCTACTCTGTCCTATACGGTTGCTTGGAGTTTGGAATCAACTTGACAGCAATGGGGTTTTGGTTTTTTTCCCCTCCGAATGAGGGTCAGGGATCAAATACTGAGAAATAGTGCAGAAAATAAATAAATGTTCATGACATTTAGTATACAGTTCAAGGTCAGTGTTAAAATAACTTAAAAAGGGATTTCCCTCTCATCTTCCTCTTGCTGTTATTACACTGTTGATGTGAAAGCTCACCTCGCCCTCTTGAAGAACTTCGACCTCTAGGAGCCCCCACCACTGTGCCGCCTCCTCCTCGTCCTGTCAATCGCAGGACAGCGGCGCTGTTGACAGACATGGAAAAGTTTCTCTGCCAAAAAAAGAAAGAAACGATGACTAAAGCATGTGGCTTCTCCCCAACTCCCAATGCATCTACAAAATGGCATCTAGTTACTACTAGCCATAGGTCACCATAACCACACGGCATACTGAGGTGATCCAAAACCTGATCTTAGCTGACAATTTAAATGAACGTTTCACACCTACAAACACTGACAACCTGCCTTGCACTCTGCCAGGTTCTGTGAGGGAGTATTAAATTACACAAGCAAAGGCTCATTGTGTACACATCCCTAAACAGATAGCGTGGATATGCAACAGAATCAACGGAGAAAACTTTGTGCTAGAGATTTGATTTGAAAGGGCCCTTTAAGTCTTTAACTACAATGAAAGGTAGAAATGAGCACATAAGTTTAAGAGGGAGTCACAAAAAGCTTTGATGCAACAGTAGCCTGATAAAACACAGTTCTATCAGACATTACAAAAAAAAAAAAAGGAAGATGACCTTTTCCATCTCCTTCACCAAAGTGAATAGACAACTCGATGTAGTTTTTAATAGAAGGACAGGAATTAGAATCAAATGGCAGGAGGTGGGGGTGGTGCTTGAAAATTAAACAATATCCCAATCACTCAGTCATTAATCTGTACTTCCACCCCAATAGCCAATCTGGAATAGGATCAAGTACAACGAGGGGGTAGTGGATGGGGAAAGAGAAAACTTTCCTCCCGTTCCTTCCCTAGCCACCGGTTTCCCTTTCCCAAAGGCAGCCAGTGTTAGCAGTTTCTTGTGTATTTTTCCAAGAAAATATGTAATATATTTCCCCCTCTTTAAATAAGCGATAGTGTACTCTAAACATGGTTTTGCACTTCCAACATTTGAGTATTTTTATTGAAATAATTCTCTGCCAATTTGGACAAAACAGGACCAAACCTGTTTTAGTTTGCTTTTCTTTGCCATGACACTGAATAGTTTTCCAAACGTTTATTAGCCATATATGTTTCTGTTAATTATTTGTTCTTGTCTTTGCCAAATTTTCTTTTGGGTACTTTAATCTTTCTGAAGTATTTTATTGATTTTAAAGACCTTATAAAGAAATTTTAAAATTAATAAGAAAGACAAACAACCTGAAAGAAAAACGGGCAGAGGACGTGGGCAAATTAAAAATTATAATGGCCTATACGCATGTGAAAAGATGCTCAACTTCGATAGGAACTGGGAAACATAAATTAATAACAACTATCACCACAATCGGCTCAGCCAAAATTAAAAATCCAAGAGCTAGGTAATTTGTATAGAAATGGAGCCTCTCCCTCCACTGATGGTGGGAGTGCAGACCGGCCCAAACTACTACGGAAAGTAACTTGGCAATAAAGTTTAAAAAAATGTAAAGACCGGAAACAGCAATTCTACTTTTACAACACATGTTATAGGAACGCCTACTGCACCGTAATTTGTAACAGCAAAAATTGAAAACAACCTAAACATCCAACAATAGGAGAGTGCAAAAACTGTAGATTTTCTCATACTAGACAGCAGAGATGAACAAACTAGAGCTATATGTATCAATACAGATAAATCTAAAAATCAATGTTGAGTGAAAAAAGCAAGCCGCAGAATAAAAACTACAGTATGGTAACTTCATCAGAAAATGTATAACCCTATAAAACAAAACCACATATTGCATACAGATATACAGATATGTAATGAAAATATAAAAGCAAGAAAGAGAACAACAAATCAATTCATGATCATCTCGGAGATGGGAGGGAGGGGTACACCCCAGACAATCTCAATAGTATGTGAACTCTTACTTCTTAAAGCAAAACCTACAAACAAACAAAAACAACAAACACAAATATGTCATAATTTTAAGATTTCATATATCTAAACAGTAAATATACTGGTCTTTATAATAATATTCTCTACACTTGTCTGTTTATTTGAAATACTTCATAATATTTTTCAGGATAATTAAACCAAAATACAGCCAGATGCCAAATGGATACTTGGTAAAAACTCTTCAGCAATTACTGGAAACAGCATCCTGTCTTTCCTGTGCACCCTTTACAGCAATAAACACATATCTGCTGATGACCTTAGAAGAAAGTAGGTTTCATGAATAAGGATGGAACCAGCCTGATGCAGAACGAAGTTGTTATGGATTGAACTGTGTCCCCCAAAAATGTGTGTCAACTTGGCTAGGCCATGATTGCCAGTATTGTGTGACTGTCCACCATTTTGTTATCTGATGTGATTTTCCCATGTGTTGTAAATCCTGCCTCTATGTTAATGAGGCAGGATTAGAGGCAGTTATGTTAATGAGGCAGGGCTCAATCTACAAGATTAAGTTGTATCTTGAGTCAATCTCTTTGCAGATATAAAAGAGAGAAGCTAGCAGCGAGACAGAGAGAACTCATACCACCAAGAAAGTAGCGCCAGGAGCAGAGTGCATCCTTTGGACCCAAGATCCCCACGCCTGAGAGCTCCTAGACCAGGGGAAGACTGATGACAAGGACCTTCCCCCAGAACCGACAGGGAGAGAAAGCCTTCCCCAGGAGCCGGCACCCTGAATTCAGACTTTTAGCCTCCTAGACTGTGACAGAATAAATCTCTCTTTGTTAAAGCCATTCACTTCTGGTATTTGTTACGGCAGCACTAGATAACTAAGACAAAAGCATAAACAAAAGAAAACAAAATAGTTTTTGGAAGTATGGTGCTGAGAATTATCAAAGATTAACATCACATCTTCCTTAGAATTTAATACAATTCTAATAGAGTTCTTTCAATAAGCTTTTCTTTCTCAATAGAGAAGCCTCCCAATGCAAAACACGGCAAGAGTACAGAGGAAACAGCCAAGGCTGTCACAAAAAGTAAAGATGAAAATGTTCTGGGATTAGATAGTGGTGTTGGTTGTACAACTCTGCGAATGTACTAAAAAACCACAGAAACTCCCTGAGGGACCAAATTACTGGGCTGAGGGCTCTGGGGACCATGGTCTCAGGGAACATCTAGCTCAACTGGCATAACATAGTTAATAAAGAAAATGTTCTACATTCTACTTTGATGAGCAGCATCTGGGGTCCTAAAAGCTTGTGAGCGGCCATCTAAGATACTTCAGTGGTCTCACCTTGTCTGAAGCAAGGGAGAAGAGCAACGACACAAGGGAAAGATTAGGACTAATCGACCCCAACTACCACAGCCTCCACCAGACAGAGTCTAGCACAACTAGATGGTGCCCGGCTACCATCACCGACTGCTCTGACAGGGATCACAATAGAAGGTCCCAAACAAAGCTGGAGAAAAATGTAGAACAAAATTCTAACTCACAAAAAAAAAAAAGACTAGACTTACTGGTCTGACAGAGACTGGAGAAACCCCGAGAGTATGGCCCCCGGACATCCTTTTAGCTCAGTAATGAAGTCACTCCTGAGGTTCACCCTTCAGCCAAAGATAAGACAAGCCCATAAAACAAAACAAGACTAAATGGGCACAACAGCCCAGGGGCAAGGACAAGAAGGCAGGAGGGGACAAGAAAGCTGGTAATAGGGAACCCAAGGTCAAGAAGGGGAGAGTGTTGACATGTCATGGGACTGGCAACCAATGTCACAAAACAATATGTGTACTAATTGTTTAATAAGAAGCTAGTTTGTTCTGTAAACCTTCATCTAAAGTACAACAACAAAAAAAGCAGGTTAAAAAAAAAAATCCTTAAGTTAAAAAAAACACCGAATTGTATACTTTTTAAAAGGGTGAATTTTATGGTATGTGAATTATGTCTCAATAATACTTTTTAGAAAAATTAATGCTTCATTTAAAGTGGCATTCCAGCATTCCGACAAAGCTCTTATTTCTCCGTTTTCCTACAATCACCATAGGCTCCTTGAAATCAAAAATTTATTTATCTTTGTACAAGACAAAGTGCTCTATAAACAGGGACGCCACAAAATCTGCTAGCTTTCTCACAGCATCATAAACAAAAATCAGTAATAGAGGAGTTTTAAGTGCATTTTGTGCTGAACATCTACATTTTCCCTGACAGCCAGCTTTCAAGTGTTAGAATACACTGGTGAAAATGCAGCTTGGCAGTTACTTATGAAAAACTATATTCTTCTGGAAAGACAGATCTCCCAACCAAAAAAAAAAAAAACTTTTTTTATGGGCCTGTCTACCTGACTAAGTTATTAGAGATGATTCCATTGTCCTTAAGAATGCAGAAACATTTCAACAGCATCAGATACTAAAGCAGAATCTAGTCAACTAAAAAGGAGGCATCCACATACCAAGAAAAAAAGACAATTCCACTCCTAGGTATACACCCGAGACTTAAAAGCAGGGACTCACACCACTACTTATACACCAATGGTCACTGCAGCATTATTCACAGTATCCAAAAGGTGGAAACAACCCAAGTGTCCATCAACAGATGAATGGACAAACCAAATGTGGTCCATTCATATAGTGGAATATTACTCAGCCATAAATGAAGCTGGGATACAGGCTGCGACACGGATGAACCTCGAAAACATTATGCTCAGTGAAGTAAGTTAGACACAAAAGAACAAATATTACACGATCCCACTTATATGAAGTATCTAGAATAGACAAATTCATCGAGACCATAGTTTACTACTGGTTACCAAGTGCAGGCAGGGGGAGGGAGAAAGGAAGACTCAGTGCTTACGGGACACTGAGCTTCTGATAAGGGGGATGAAAAAACTGGCAACAGGTAAGGGTGATGGTTGAACAACAAGATAAACCAAGTATGTCACTGACATGAAAAACATTGAAACGGTTAAATGGTTTGCTGCATATACATTTGCCCCAATAAAAATAAACTAATTAATTTTTAGAAAGTGAAGGGAGGGAGGGAAGTTGGTTAAGAAGGAAGCAGGCCTGTGGCGACACACGAAGCTCCCTAGGGCCTAAGTAGTACCTTCCCATTTTCAAGCCTTAGTGGAAAGGAAAGGGCTAAAGCTGAGGATCAAAGCTGGGCACAAACCTGTTCTTCTTCCGTAAGGGGTACAAGAGCCAAAGGTGGTAGGGGCTCCTCCTGTAGTATAGGCAGAAATTCTTTATCCAGAAGGTCTGAAGGTATCTGTATGGTCAAACGCATGAATAATACCATGAGATTAATACTATCGAATTTTCAATTACAAGTTAAAACCAAGAAAAAACATACTTCCATTTATCCACTGCTGATCATTATAAGTATGTATTAAAGCTTATTCACCATATTTAACTTCTGTGGCACTTACATATTTTGAGCGTCAAATACTAAACTCCATCACCCATGATATTTTCAATCACCTCATATGCATATAAAACCTGGACAATGAATAAGGAAGACCGAAGAAGAACTGATGCCTTTAAACTATGGTGCTGGTGAAGAATGTTGAACGTATCATAGACTACCAGAAGAACGAACAAGTCTGTCTTGGAAGAAATACATCCAGAGTGTTCCTTAGAAGCAAGGATGGCGAGACTTTATCTCACATACTTTGGACATGTTATCAGGAGGAACCAGTCCCTGGAGAAGGACTTCATGCTTGGTAAAGCAAAGGGTCAGCCAAAAAGAGAATGACCCTCAACAGGATGGACTGACACAGTGGCTGCAACAATGGGCTCAAACATAGCAATGATTGTGGGGATGGCACAGGACTGGGCAGTGTTTCATTCTGTTGTATATAGGGTGGCGATGAGTCAGAACCGACTCGACGGCACCTAATAAAAGTATCACCCTCCCAAACTTCCTATCATACCAGCACTTTTGGATTTGATAGATAGCATAAACTGATATTCCACAGTGCACAATGGAGGAGTAAAAATCTCCACATTTAACTCAAGCATGAGGCGGTAAGGAGCTTTTTAGAAGCAATTACATCTGTCCTTAGCAACCTCGTTACAATTTGGGATTCTCAATCCATTGATAAAATTAAAAACAAAGCATACTGAAAAAAGTAGAAAATACTACTTCTCACTAGTCAGACAATAAAAGACTAAATTGTACTGCTTCAGAGTTTTGATCCTTTGTAAGTGACAGAAATGTAATGCTACATTTTAAGATTCTATCTCCATTAAAAATGTTACATTGAACTCAAAAACAAAAAGAACAGGAGAAGCTGCCCCTGACTTCCAACTGGAACACAGAGTAAGAAGTTCAGTAAAGAGGGAGAAAGCCTTCATTTCTCAACTCTAAGCCATCCAACCAGGAGAGAAATAAAATAAACATGAAAGAGGGGTTAAGAGGAAAGTAGCTAGAAAAGGTATTAAGTGCTGACTATTGGTCCTGTCTTAGTATTTCTTCTCTGAAAAACAGAGTGTGTAACACTTAGAAAGCCTGTTCAGTATTTCAGGTTTCAAAGCAGGAAAAAAGGTAAGGTTGAGAGAAAAACCATGGTTCAATGCATTAGTAGGATATATTAATTATTATTATTTTTTTCCCATATAAAAATTTGTACATACATTGTTATGTGACCCTAATTGCTCTCCCCATATTGTGACAGCACACCCTCCTTTCCACTCCTGATTCCCCATGTCCATTCAACCAGCTCCTAACCCTCCCTGCCTTCCCATCTCACCTTCGGACAGAAGCTGCCCTTTTGGTCTCTTGTATCTACTTGAGCTAAGAGGCACACTCCTCACAAGTACCGCTTTATGTCCCACAGTCCATTCCAATCCTTGTCTGAAGACTTAGCCTTGGAAATTGCTTTAGTTCTGGGCTGACAGAGAATCCAGGGGCCATGCTTTCCAGGGTTCCTCCAGTCTCAGATCATTAAGTCTAGTCTTCTTACTAGAATTTGAGTTCTGCACCCCACCTTTCTCCTGCTCCATCCTGGGCTCTCTGCTGTGTTCACTGTCAGGGTGGTCACTGGTAGTAGCCAGGCACCATCTAGTTCTTCTGGTCTCAGGCTGATGAAGTCTCTGGTTTATG